ATAATTTTTTTAAGTGAATTTTAGTTACAATTTTTCACTTTTTCATATTAGAAAATGATACACACTGCTTTTTAATTATGTATATGTTCCAATTAAATTTGATTATTTCCATTTCATGTAAAATCATTAAAATGTATCATAATCATAGTTTTTAATTTTGTTGAGGTGGATCTGGATCATTTGGATTTCCTCCCATTTGTCGTCTTAAAGATTCAATTAATTCAGGATTAGCATTTTGTAATTGTCGTGCAAAATGTTGACCACTAAAAAGTTTTTAAATATAATATATTTTTATATGATAATATATATAAATACAAGAAGCATTAATAATTAATTCTTACGCTTCTATAAGAGCATCCATATGTCCTCCCTGTTCAACTTGTCCACTCATAAAATTGCTCACCATATTTTGTAGAGCTGGATTGGATAACATTTGACGAGCCATGTTCATAAGAGCAGGATTACTCAAGAGTGAACTAAGATCCATGCCTGGTAATGCACTTCCACCTAATCCCATATTACTCATGCTTGGTTGAGCTAATTTTTCTTCTGCTACTTGTAAATTATTTTTATAACTTTCATTATCAGGTTCCATTTCTAAAGCTTTCTGATAGCTTTCTTTAGCCTCTTTATGTCTTTGCAAGCTGGAATATGCTAAACCTAAACGTCCATATGCTTTACTGTACGAGGGATCAATGGACAATGCAGTATGACAATCATTAATTGCTTGTTGATAATTGCCAATTTTACTATATGCTGCAGCACGGTTACAATAATACACAGCATTACGACCATCTAATTGAATTGCTCTAAAAAAATAATATAATATTATTGTAATTTTAAAAATATATAAATTTTTATAAAAATATATTTTTTTTTTTTAACTTCAACTTGTATATTAGTAGTAAATAAATAGATCGAAATATATACTTTGTATAATTGGCAAGAGCTTCATGATGTTTTTCAGCCTTCATGAGAGTATTTCCTTCATTTTTTAATCTTTCAGCTTCAGCTTTTGCTTCTGGAGTAGCTTCTGGAGCTAAACAAGGTTTTGCATTTTCTACGGAAGACTTATAAACTTCGTATAAGTTAAAATTTGTTGGAGTATCTGATGCTTGTACATTATAAGCACTTTCTAAACATTGTATCGCTACTTCAAGGCTTTCTCGAGAATCTGCTGTAATATCACCTTCTTCTAATTGTTGAGTTAAAAATTGAACAATTGCTGCTATTAGCCCCTTGACAGCCATTACTGCCTTGAAGGAACTGTTTTATATGAATAAAATTAATTATAATTATAGAATATAATTACGTTATGCTATAATAATATATAAACAAATATACTTAATATTATTTAGTAATGGAAAATTCCTAATACGTGTCATAACCTCAAAATAGTGTTCTCATTATTTGGAAATAGAATAAAATAAAATGTTTTAATTAAAACGAAGATTAATGATTGTTTTAAAAAAATCAATTGTACCAATATTACCAACATTATGTTAATAAATTGGTAAATGTTTTATTATGCCAATTCATGGTTTTGACATAACCAAAAAAGATATGCCGGATAAAAGAACACGCAATTAAATTTAATTTATTATATTTCAATCTCTTTAAATTGGATATTTTATCTATTATAATCATATTAAATAAGTTAAATTACATACATTTATATACAAATTATGAATTGTTTGCAATTAATTAGAGACGAATAAAAGTTGTCCAATAACAAAATGATACCCTGACAGTTTCATTTTAAGAGATAATTTAAAATGTTTTTAATCTTTTTGAAATTAAAAAAACACTTTCTGTACTTGAATATACCTTAAAACTTTAAGAGTAGTGTTACACAGCAACAACGAAGAAACTTCAATGTGTTACGATGGCTTCTACTTCACAAAAAAGGAAAACCTTTACACTTCGTATTGCGTTGACTACAGAATTCGTCGTAGAATATTATTATTGTTCTGAAAATATTTGCAACTACACCATTTAATTGCTTGTATTCTCACGTAATGATTTTTATGTTATTTGATTTTGTTTTAAGTCTCTTTTTGTAGAAATTAAAGTTCAATGCTTTGGTTGGAATTGCGCTGGCGCAATTCGATTAATACTAAATCTGCTTTTTTAGAGTCTATAAGTCTTATAGATATTTGAACTAAGATATATTCATACAAAGTAATAAAATTGTCTAACAAATATATTAATTATTCAATACATGAAATTTATATTGTAAATATACATGTATATTACATATATTTTAGTTATTAACATGTATGCATTAATTCTATATATTCTATATGTTAATTTACATAAGATATAATTTATATATGTATAATATAATATAATATGTAATAAATGTAATATAATATAATAATATAATATAATAATATAATGTAATAAATAAACTTGTATAATAAGATTCTTATAAAATTTTTTTAGAGCCCTTGTTTTATGATTCGTAGTATAGTACTATTTGTACTTGTACCCATAAAGATATAATAATTTTCTAAATGATAGAAAGGTACCATCATTTGTAAATCATCTATGCGCTGATGTATCTTCAATTGGAATTTCTAAAAATAATTTTGTGAGAAAATCTATATAGATTAAATTATATAGATTTTAATTAATATATTAATTAATATATTATAAATTATATTAATTAATATATTATAAATTATATTAATTAATTTAATTAATAAATCAATGTGATCTTACTTGTGCATGCATATATTCATAAATATAAAATTGATCATTTTCTGTTATGACAATGATAAAAGAATTGGTTTGGCCAAATTCTAAAATAATAAATAGAATAAAAAATATTAAATATAATTATTATTTTATCATAATATTAATATATTGTTCATACCATTCATGTGAAAACATTCTATTCCATAAATTTGTGAATTATACAAAAGAGTTTGATAATTGTAAAAATTATCGAATTCTGAATTGTAATAAAAAATATTTATTGCATTTGTCTCGAAATCATCTAATAAAACAAAACCATCTTGTTCTTGAATTAAACTTTTTACATTGCGTGTTTTACCTTCGAAAGTTCTGATTATTATAAACTAAAAAAATAATATATAAATATATCATTATTTAAAATATTTTTATAAAATAATTAATAATGAAGCATTTACTTTGGAAGTAGAAACATCTAATTTATATAAATATGATTTTTCGGAGTTTCCAAAACAACCAAATAGAAGATATACATCGTGATAATTTCTTTTAAAAATTTCAACAGTCCAAGCTCCATCAGTGGATATGTTTTGATATAAGAATAATGTATTGTTCTTGAAATCAATCTTGTAAATTAAAGAATTTGTCTGATGTGTTGCATGTATCGTATCATAATATACTGCTAGTGCAAGGAAAGTAGCATCTAAAATAAATAAAAAAATTAAAAATTAGAAAATGTTAAACTAATTATTAATTAATTTATTTTAATTTATTAATTAATTTAAAATTAAATAATTTTATTAATATTTAATATCATACTATCATGTGTGAAAAATTTTGCATCTTTTATGAAACCTCGAATTTTTAAAGTCGTTTCCTTTACATTAGTATTTAATATATCTTCAGTATCAATTATGTTAGGTTTAATCCATAAAATCGTAATGAATTCGTTTTCAGTATTATTCAATGTACATTCACGACTATATGATATTGCATTTGATTCTATGTTTATACCATATGTATTATGCAAATATTGATAATTTCTTATTATTTTATTATTATTTATTTTTCGAATTTGACAACTTTTTTTAGTAAGTTCAACCATATATTCAATTGGACAAGAACAATTATTTGGAAGTCCGCAAAAATGTCCTGTTTCTTCTCCAAACATATTCAATTTTGTAATCTGTTCATAATAAGCAACATCAATCTTCTTAATATTAGATGCTTGAATTCTTAACTTTTGTTCTATTTCTAAATATGAAAAAATGTTTGTAAGAGTTTTAGAAATTAAGGAAGATTGAACAATGCTCTTCTTCATTTTAATTTCATTTAGTACGAACACGCGATAGATTTGATGTATCTGTTCTTGTAGATTATAGAGAATAGTATATAAATTTATTTCATTTATTAAGTTGAAAACGGATACATTTTCTGGAACTTTAATTTTTGACTCAAAAATCTACAAATATGCAATTTTTAAATACATTATAAAATATATATATGTAAATTATTTGAATCAAATCATTTTACCAAATCTCCGATGATTTTAACATCTTCATCATTTTGCACACCGCTATAATATTCTAATGATATGTTCATCCCATTAATAAATGATGTATAAATATTGCCATTTACTATAAAATTTTCTTCAAAAATCTTTGAATCAGATATTATTTGCGTTTCTTTACTTTCATTTAGAGCCAAATCGGAAATATAAATATTATTGAGTGTTGATGCATTTGCATTCTCTAAGATTTTTTAATCATATTATATTGAATTATTAGTAAATATATGCGTATACATAAAATTTTAAATTGAATGATTTATATAATTTATATTATATGTATCGTATATAAATATTATAAATTTTGCATGTTTGTTGAACTAATTCTCATGCTTGCAATTTTAAAGATTTATTTAACCAATTAATATAATTTCTAATTTTTAATATGATTTATTTGTAATTGTATACATACCTGTTATTTCTATAATATCATTAAAATGTACATCAAAAAATATTTCATTTTCTTTGTCAATGGTTACACGATTCTTTAAGAATTCATCAAAATCTACTTTATCAAAATTTTTCAAACGTACATCTTTTAATATAACAAGATTTTTGAAAAATATATGAGTTGGTAATACATCAGTTGCCAGAACCACATCTTTTAAGAGGATGTTATGAACATTATCATTGACAAGAATTTGATCAATCGCGACATCATCGAGAAAAGTTATAATTCCAGTTATTATTGCTTCTCGATCTTTTCTTACTACGGAATTATTAAATTCGAGAATATTAACATTGTTAATCATAGGAATATCAATATTATTGATTACTGATATAGTATCAATATTTAAATTTTCTTTAAAAATTTTTTGACCAATTACTTCAATATTTTTCTCATCATCTATCACAGCATCTACAATAATATTATATATTTTATCGATTTCTTTAGATTGTGCTTTAACTATTGATGCTGATATATTTTTTTGAAAAATTATATTATTTTGAATAGTTTGATTCGTTGTTTTGGTTACTGCATTTTTGAATAAAAATGTCAAAGAAGTGGAGTTTATTGAGAAAATATCCCAAGAAATATTTCCATCTATTTTTAAATTAGTGATTTTTGATATTGACACATTGATCAAACTTGAATATAACTGAAATAAAATTTCTTTAATTCAATAACTGAAAGTCAATATTATCATTTTATATTTTAATTTAAAATTTACCTCATCAAAAACAAAATTGTTTAAATTTTTTGTTACAATATCTCCTTCTACAATTAAATTATCGAATTTGACATTCTCTATCAATAAAGGTTTATCAATCCATATCAAATTAGAGATATCTTGATAATTAATAATCTTAGTTTTGATATTATTAACAGTAACTTTATAAAAAATGAATTTTATAGGTATATTTTGTTCTGTTGATTTCGAGAGAAAATCATTAAAAAAGTTATTCACATCAAGATCATGTAGGGATTTCAATGTGATATTCTCTACGGTTAATTTTTGGAACTCAATTTTATTAATAATATTGAATACGATATTTTCTTTGGCAATATCGTTTAAATAAATAATATTTAAATTTTTAACATTTAAATCACCATGTATTACTAAATCTTTTAAATCAAATAATTTCATATTTCTTAACAATCCAAGTTTTTTTACTTCGAAATTATTAATTTTTTCTACATTGAGATTTTCTAAACAAAATTTCGGAACTTTCATAAATTTAATTTTCTGATATTTGCTATTTTGTAAAAAGAAAGTATTATTTTTGTCACTAAAGAAGAGAAAATTAAGTTTATTTACAAATATTTGTTTAGTTTTAATCTTAGAAAAAATCATGTTTTGTAGAAAAATATGAGGCTGTTTTTGGTTTAAAATATTGACAATAGGAACATCATTGAAAACATCAATGAATAATTCGTTTCCGTGTATATGTTTTACATATAATTTTTCTCGAATTATTATAGATTCTGGAGTAATTTCAAAAAAACTATTATTTTTTTCTTCAACGAAAAACATATCATCTATGTAAATATTTTCAAAATGTAATTTTTCAAAACTTTTTGGAATAATTGATACAGTAGTGTACAAAAATTCTTCTTCAGAAAATCCATTCAAGTACTTTGTGTTAAAATAATCTATAGTTAAATTATTTTCAAAAATGATATCGTTTTTAATTACTTGATTGCTTGATTTTGTCCAAAAAACATTGAAAATATTATTAAGATTTATTTTTTCATTATTTAGAAAGATTTGCATGTAATTGTCCAGTTCTAAAGTTTTTATCTTCACGTTACCTTGAATGGAAACATTAGAATATATTTGATATGGAATATCTGATATTTTGAATTTTGAATCAACTATAAATTTCTTTGTTACATGTAATCTCGCAATTTTTGCATCTCCTATGGAACATAAAATTTTTCACGTAAATATGAATAATATTTATAATATATATAATAGTATAAAACTTTAAAAAATTAAATTAATCTCACTTTAAATACCTTTGATTATGTTTTCAGTAGATATTCGCGCTGCTTTTGAAACTGGAATATTATTTATCGAATCCGCGAACAAATTTTCTACTCTAAATTTTTTTGCTATAAAATTATCAAAAGTTTGATTGGTTATTGTATTCATATATTTGTTCCATGACTTTTCATTCAACATTTGTATTGTAAGATTCTGGATTTTTAACATATTATTATAAATAATATTTCCTAAAAAAGTTTAATTTAAATTTAAATATCAATTTAAGTTAATAATTTAAAATAATTTTATGAAATTTACCTTTAATTTTCTGATTGTGATTAATGATAAATAATTTATCAAAAAGTTCGTTGATATTCGTGCCATTTAACATTTTTATATTTAAATTCATTAACGATATATTCGAATTTAAATATATAGTATCATTTGAAAATTCAATTTTATCTGATGTTAAATTTATTTCTAATTTTAATACATCACTAGCTAGAGACCAATCTAAAATAAAGATTTGTTTCTTAATAATATTTTCATACCTTTAAATTTTTTATTATTATTAATTATTTATTATTATTAACTCTTACATCGGAATGGAATACCACAAATAGATTCTACTTTAAGATCATTTATAATCACATCTTTTTTCTGCAATGAAATTGAAAATTTTTGCATTTTACTTGAATCTATAATATCATTCGAATAAATATCAACATCATTAAAAAAATCTACAATCAGTTTATCAATCTGCAGTTCTTCAATAAACGCATCTCCATCAATAATGATATCTCTATTTATATTATTCCACATTAAAAATTTAGACGTTAAAATATTATCAATTTCATGGATTAAATTTTCCATGTATTGTTCTAGTTCTCGAGGTATTATAATATCTTCATCTATAAAGACATTAATGTTTTTCACAGTTCCTGAATCTAATATTAAATCTTGCAAGATTAAAAGTTTTGGTATTGTTAAATCTTCATGTGCAGAGAATAAAAGAGACCATAAGGTTGTAGCTTTTTCTAGAAAAGGTTTCCTTTGTTGCAACATTTCAACTAATTCGGTCAAATGGTTCGATAAAGTATCGCTTTTTTTAATCGAATGTTCTGAAAATAAAATTATAATAAATGAAATGAGAAATAATTTCGGAAGAGTACTATTTTAAAATAAAATAACTAACCAGGAAAAATTTCTTCAATTTTTAGCTCCCATGACTCTATACTGTAAACTTGATCTGAATTCATGATAATCAGCAGCATATTTACCACAGATTTGTCGATTCGAGTTAGTATGTCAATCAGAAACATTCCGCTAGGTAACTTCATAGTATTTATTAAAGTGCAATCTGATGCATTTTCAAATTTGTATAATTTTAAAATATTCTAAAATATGTATAATATTTGTAAATAATTATAAATAATTACTGATTGTTTATTAGTTAAATTCTATACTTACATTATAGACTACGAAAAAAAAATTATTATCATTGATATTCACGATATGAATTAAATCAGGTATTTCTATTTCTGGAATTTGTTGCCAGTTTAACAGTTCATATCCTAAAAAATAACTTGAAAATATAATTTTCATAGATCTGTAATATATAAAAGAAAAATGAAGAAAAAACGAACCATCCCACCAAAGTAAGTTACTTGGTTCATATTGATTTATTAATAAAATAAAATTAAAGCCTGCGTGTCTATAATGATGAACGGAAATCGGATTTGAAGTTTTCAAGAATTGTATTTTATCTAAACTGGTTTCTGTAAATTCATATACCATGGAGCCAATATTGGGGATATTTTCATTATTTTGTGCGAATATTATGATTGTTGATTGTTTGTATTTAAATGTAGTGACTGATACTGCAGCAGTAGTTATTATATTCTTTATTTCATCCATGTATGTTTCTTTCCAATGATATATTCTATATTAATAAAAAATATATATTTTTAATTAAAATAATTCTAAAAATATATGGTTATTAATTTCGCTTACAAAGACTGCACAGGAAATTGACCGAAATTATTGGCCACTACGAGATAAAGTCGATTGTCACGAATGAAGAAGTTAGCATCCATGGGACATTCCTCGTATCGAATGGTTTGACGACGTCTTAATTGTAAATTATTTGTTTGTGTATAAATACTACAGAAACTGGTTATATAACAAATTAGCAAATAAAGTACATTTTTCCAGATAATATTCTGTAATATGTTAATTGAAATATTCTAATATTGTATATAATTTTAAGTAATCATAAATAATATTAATTTACATACTCTGACAAATTTAATGGAACCATTATTAGAGATTGGAATTATTTCTCGAGATGAGATATTGTTAGAAGCATCAAAAGAAAATGCTATAAAACGATTTGCTTCTACCAAAAATATTTTGTTGAATGCATTTGTTATGAAAGGTAGTTCTTTGTTGAGATCTTCTTTCCACAATCGATTCCATTTTACATTGTACACTTTTCTTTCAACTATGATCATCATTAAAAAATTTATTTTAAATATATTTCATTTGAATATTTAATTTATTTATTATTTTTTTTTTTACCTATTGGTTCTTCTCGAATATAAAGTTTGGCTATTTCAATTTTTGTTTGCCTTAATTTTTCATCTAAATGATTGATTATGGAAATGTGTGCAAAAATAAAATCGATGTAACCGATAAGAAGCTAATATATAAAAATATAATCAAGTATTAAATTCGATTTATATAAATTAAATTTGATTTTTAATCTTCTTTAAATTTAATTCAAATATTTGTTTAATACTTACTAAAATTCTGAAAGATCTCATAATCTCAAAACAATTAGCGATTCTTTCACGTTTGAAATCTAATTGATTACTAAAGACAATTACAGGTCATCAGCTGAATACGCATACAAACAAAATATGCGTATTCATGCGTATCTATATCATATATTTATATATAAATATCAATTATCATTTGAATCGTTAATAATTGAAATCAAAATTATAGAATCATTGAATAAGCTATATGAATAAAATTATTAAAAATTTAATATACAATACAAATTTAATATATTATTATTCATTCATTAATAATATATATATTATTCATATATATATAACATATTTACATCATACGTAAAAAGAAAAATTCAGAGAAATAAAATAATAATAAGGTAAAAAAAGAAATAAAATTGTCTTTGTAAATAAATCAATTTTTATATAAATTATTTTTATTATTATTATATTGAATATCAAATTAAATCCTTTGATACAAAGTCATAAAATAGAATAATTTTTTAGAAATTAATAATTAATATAAATAAATATAAATAGAATAATTAATATAAATAAAAGAAGATAACATAAATACAGACTAGAAAAAAAAAAGAAAAAAATTATCAAAAATGATAAAAAATATTTTCAATTATTTCGTATTGTATTCGTATATTATTAATATCGTATCATATTATGTAATATTCATGTGTGTGTATATGTGTGTGTATGTGTGTGTGTGTGTATAATCTAACATAATTTTATATAACTATACTTTAATTTTTATTTACATTAATTTAATTTTATGTTTTAATATTTTGTTTATTTTCTCTGAATATTTTGTCTTTTTTTGATTATCAATAATATATGTATGAAAATAAATACATATTATGTGTATTAATTTATTTAATTTAATAAAATTTATATATATATAAAATTTGTATATATAATCTTTTATTCTGTAATTTGTATTTGTATAATTATGTAATTTGTATATTGTATAAGTATTTTTATTCACTTTTATTATTAAAATATTTTTTTCTTTTTTCTTTTTTAGTTTTTTTAAAACAAATTTATTATTGAAACTCAAAATTTTAGATTAATCTTATTATCATTCATCGATTATTATATTGAATTACTAGTAAATTAATTTTTTGTTGTGAAATCATATCCAATATAATCATAAATATTAAAAAATTATAAAATATGAAAATTATAGAATAGAAATTGACTATAATTAAAAAATCATTGGAATTTATAAATATTTATTTTTTCGATGAAATTAAATTATAATCTAAATATTGCATTTATATTCTTACGATGTCATTCTTTCTTTTATGATATCATTTATA